TACACCCACTTTGAGGAATTAGAGGAATCAGAAGTTGAACATAGGCTTCTCAGTGTCTGCTGCAAGAGACAGTTAAGCATGGGAAGTCCACCTTCCATTGTCACACAAAGAATTAGAAAAAGAGAGAGAATTGAGTATGAGCCACCACTAGACAAGGATTCCTAGTTCAAATAGCTATTAAAAAAGAAAAAAAGAGGAACAAACAGAGCAATTGCCAATTGCCCATTCCCAAGCGCACACAGTGAAGTGTATCAAAGACGCTCCTAACTTAATTCAGTGCTATATTGACCTTTTCAGGCAGTTTTGTGTAGGGACCCTTACATTTATGAATCAATAACCACGTTAAATGACTATTTCACCCAAGAAACATTTCGATTGACCATTTTCACCCGTTGATTTACAGATCTTTGATATGCGTTTGTTTTTTTGCGGGGGGGCGGGGCATGCCATTTCTGTGGCAGACAGCCTCTCCTAGTTTTTACTTCGAACCTTCCTTTTTGTTTTGTACGAGTCCTCCAACAGGTCAACGGAAAGCCCAGTAACAACTCTGCAGTTACTGAATTACCTTCCCTAATAAAATAATAAAGATAGGTTCACGAACACTTCTCGTAACTTTCTCTCTCGTAAACATTGATGTGACAGTTCATAATTGATCAGTTTATATTTGATTAGACGAAACTCATCACGAATTGACCAATTATAAATTGACACATCACATTTGTGAGAGAAAATTAATGAGAAGAATTTGTGAATGTAGTATTTACTACTAATAAAAAGGGCTGGCTCACTAATTTGCAATCGTAATAAAGAGGATTGCCATGATAGACATCAAAGAAGAGCAGCATTACTTCAATGAAATATCTGATGAGTACACGTTGACAAAATGGAAGGAATGACTACCAGTCAGAGTGCATATTTAACCTTGAGTTGGCTGTTTCAGAATTTGCAAGAAACTTAGTAGTAAAATAACATAAGAACTTTAACCATCAGTGGAACACAGGCCTGGAAAAAAAAATCTTCAATTCGGAGAGCATAAGGCATATTTTAAGTAGCTTTCACTAGCATTTGATGTCACCATATCAATTTGTCTGTAGTTGCAGTAGCTCTGGTCCTCAAAGGAACTAGCATTATACAGGTTCAATCATAGTTCACCTAACTTGGTGTTAACATTAATATTCTCTTAAATCACATCATTGTTATACAGATGTGTGATCTCATAGGCCATAGCTGGCTGATGCTGCCCCATTCATTCCTACAGTGAACAAAGTTACAATTTAAATGGTCAAAATTTAAGTTTAGCAGTTATCCAACCCCATAAATGGCAACAGTTCACTTAAAAGAATTTACCTTCATCCAGAAAGCATAAATTGCTTAACCAAAGGAAATGAGTGTGAATAGTTAAAAACATGATGGCCCCCTTCCAAGTCTATGTCATCACTATGGTAACAGCAAATTTTGATCGCTGTCTACTTCCCTTGTGAGCATGTACATTTATTTTTGTTTTTTATCATGAACAAATAATATGTCATGGACGGCAATTCCAATGGACTTTAGCTTAACATTGAGGACATTACCAGTTAACAAGAAGAGGGCCGATGTAATCATTTTTCTCAGGACTGTGTATATGACTAGCCTGATTAAGTAGAAAGAAAAAATTTTAGAAACAATTTCAGACGAATATGGCCAATATGTAGTTATTGCGATTACAAAGTGAATGTGAACAAAGATACAGAACTTTAAGAAGAATAACCATGTAAAAGCTTAAACGTCCAATCCCAATTTATAATCGACTTACATGATTACAGTATCTAGTCCACCATTATTACGGAATTTCGATTTTCTAGCCAACGTTGCATCTGAGGTTTTCTATTAGAGACAACATCTTGATCCATGCTAGCAGATTATGATAAAATAATTACTCCCCTGGTTTTATGCTGCATATTTTCTCCTGATTAAACATCTGAAGATCCCAATCATTCAATCTGCGGGCGCTGGTACCTAATTCTAGAAAAAAGTTGTGCAAAGAAGTAATATTACTTTTATAGAAGAACTTATTAGTCTCATACTCTATACAAAAATAATTTCCCAGAAGTAAAAGTAGAAATTGTAATCTGTAGAGAATGAAAAACTTGGAAACAAAGCACCGTACAGCTTCAAGCACAAACAGAATGGTGGCAACAAAATCTCTGAGGAAAAAAAAAAGATCTTAGAATCAATTACAGTATTCACATCACTCATTTGACAGATAAGGTATGAAATGATCTCCTTATTGAAAATTTCTGGCTAATACTGGGGAAAAGAAGAAACGGCAGCCCTCCACTAATCTTGCGAAATCATATCATGAACTAGGTCATTATGACCCCACCCACCTTTTGCAGTGCACTAGCTTGTTAGCTAGAATCCCATCCACACTTTGTAAGAGAGTTTATACATTAGAGTTGAGGAGGTTGTTCATCACAAGGGTCCGCCCACCTTTAACATTCACTATATTGTGCAGTTGTCGTTTAGTCAGATTCACTGCAGCTTCATCTCCTTTATTGTAAGACTTATGAAATGCTTCCATCATATCTTCAGTATATATTTATGGCACCAACAACTTGTCTCCATTTATCATTACTTTTAACTAGAATTATCAGTCTCCCAAAAGATATTCTGAAGAATTATTTGTTCTGTTTCAATAAAAACTAGCTAAGCGACAACATTCCAAAACTTTATTTGAAATAACAAGTGAACCATATGGACCCTCCAAAAATTTCCTGTCAATTCGCATTTAAAAACCAAGAGAATGACAGTGAGGCATGAAATACCACATAGCTGCAAAACGGTTAACCATGATGTTAAATTGTTATGAGTTAATAGTTTTCGAACCAAGAAAATTAAAAGAAAATAAAAGGTAATGATATTGGTCCAGTATAAAAAACAGAAGATGGAAAGAGTGCACCCCACTCCACAGTGGGGGAAGGAAAAATGGTTGACAGCTACAATTAGAGTAAACGACTTTTTCCCACCCAAGGTTTGTTTTAATGACACTCTCCCACCTAAAAGTTTCAAAATATCACTTTCTCATCCAAAGTTTATATTCCATTAATACGTAAAGCTGATTTTGACGACAAAATTATCTCTGTCACCACCATTGAACCTCCGGTCTCTTCTATACAAAATCTCTCTTCTTTCGACATTTTATTTTTTGCTGATTGTCGGTCACTGCAAAGCTAAGGTTCCTATTTTTAACTGATTTTGACTGATTCTAGTGACGAATATTCAGTCGGTCACCACCATTTAATTCACCGTTCTCCATTCTATGAAACCTCTTTTACCTTAGCTCTTAATAGCTCGCTGAACACTAGTTGAGAATATTTTGGGTATTAACAGAATATAAACTTTAGGTAGAAAAGTGGTATTTTGAAACTTTGTTGGTGGGAAAGTGTAATTAAGGCAAACCTCGGGTGGGAAAAAGACATTTACTCGCTACAATTAGCAAGGCAAACAAACAATCCCATCCCCACTCCTTCTAAAGGACATGCATTGGCATGGCCCTCCCCCTACAATTATCGGTCTCCCTGCCTCTCTCCTTATCGCTTCGGATAGATCATTTTAACAACAAACCCCCATTGGTGCAACTTTACACCTATACCTCATCTCATTCCTCGTACTCATATCCACACTGTGTTTATAGCCCTACATTTTTTATCAACCAATGGGAAATCTATACTGATGCAGGAGCAAAAAGAAAAATAAATAAAAAATTATTATATTATGTTGACTTTCATTTTCTCCCACAAGAGATCTTGACTTTTCACTTGGAAGCCTAAAAATAAAGTCTTACTTCGTCCTTTGTAAGCATTTCATAATATTATTAAACATATCTTAAGTTAAAACATTTGTTGATGTTATAGTTATTCTTAACTTAACCAATCAAGGTGACCTTTTAGTTACTATTGTCATAGTAGGGTTTATTCTAATCTCATCACAACTGACATTCATAGTGTGATTTCTAACCTCCCCAAGATTGGGGTTTCTTGCGACGTCCCAGCAACATATACTGCCCTATTAATACCTATGCTCTCCAAATGCATATTTTATCAAGCTTGTTCACTTGGTTACAAAAAACTGAAACAATTAATAAACACTTTGTTTAACCTACTTGGAAGTTCACATTCACACACTAGGAATAACACGGGAAATCTGTGATAAAGTATTCATGGGGCAAAAGAAATTAAGATTAACCGTCCAGGGATCACGATCCAGTTTCTTCAGACGCCATAATTCATGTTTGATTATTAATTGTACCATCAAACAACAGCCTAAATTTACACATTTGATTCATGTTTGTGACACTGCTTAACAATCTGCCTAAATTATTTTGCCAGGATAGGATCCTGGTACCGAAATTGAAGGTTAAAATAATTCAAACTAACAATAATACGCCAGAAAGGAGTATATATAAAATTAAGTCTTGAGTTTCTTTCGTTTAATAGGAAGTTGCTCTAGTAATCCTCATTCTCTTATATTTATTTCGAATTTTGGCTATCCGTTAGTATATCGTTCTCGTGAAATTATCCAATGTATATGAGACTTTACCTTGGGAAATATGAGGCAAATATGCGGACTGTGATACTGCTGGTGATTATTTTTGGACTCCTGCTTTGGACTTTGAATTGCGTCCCAGTCTGAGAAAGTGGACGCAAAGAGAGCCCGGGCAAAATTAACGATTTAAGGTGGCCCATCTACTTCACGTTAATAAGTTGCCATCAATATAAAAATAATATATGCCTATTGGTTTTACGGTGTTCGTACTGCCAGGCTCGTACTTTTTGGATTGAAACAGTCACGGAGACAGGAATGGATATGCCAATTCAATTTGTGAAGTCTAACTGACAAATTGCAGTTTCCTAAGATATTTAGCTGGCATCATGCAATTTGAGCATTGACTTCCCATTTGCGATGGGATTAGTCTTATGTGCATCATCAACTGTGTGGGAAGAGAACCGGAAGCAGCCATGCATTCTCTCCTCTGTTACCACTTAGCACTGGCCATGTGCCATATCCTGTAAGTGGTTTAGTCCACACTCCTGAAATTTAAGCTCTTCTTCAACTTAAACCAATGAAACGAATAGCTTTTGCTGACTTTTTCATTGACAACATTAGTTTCTTTCATTGGATAAGTTGTAGCAGGTAACATTGCACTATTCAGAGATTGATCGTGTAAATTAGACATATAGTTTAATCGTGCTTTTGCTTTCATGAGGTTTATCTTTTATCAATGGGGTAATTGTCAAATGGTGATTTTATATGTTGGAAATTCTTTTTTCCGCCGCTTTCACTGCGTTTTCGTTCTATCAAATAATTGGTATTATTTTACAAGCAACCTTTCATAGACTTCGTAATTATAATCATTCTGTCCCAGGACATTTTCTTTGGCAAGTTGATGGAACTTAGTCTTTATTAATTGCAGGTCCTTGCAATTGGGGTTGGAGCAAGGAATACTTAAGGGTTTTGGTCAACCCTCCCCGAGACAGGCCAATTCCCTCCAACCCTTGTATAAATATGTAGTTCTTATGTATCTTAAAAATAGCACAGCACCCAGATTGATTCACAGAAAGATTATTCACGATGTGGATCTCTGGAATCCAAGGCCTGCCTCTTGAGGTCACTGGTATGAAATATACTATTTAGATTATACTTAACTCTTTAGATTTAATAACTAAACATCCGTAGTTAATGTGACTAATTTTTGGTTTTGCAGTTGTTGGATGTTATAACTTGGAGGATAAAGAATGGATATCAAGACAAGATCCTTATGTCTGTCTTGAATATGGAAGTACCAAGTACCGAACAAAAACTTGTACAGGTATGCGTCCCTTTCTCCAGAGACTCTTCCATGTTAATTTACTTTTCTCTTGAATCTTGATTATAATAGTGAGAGTTAACTTTTGGATTCTGCCATCTCATTTCTCATGATGATTTGTTAGATGGAGGTAAGAATCCCACTTTCCAAGAGAAGTTCGTTTTCCCACTTATTGAAGGCCTACGGGAACTGAATATTGTGGTCTGGAATAGCCACACCCTTTCAGCTGATGAATTCATTGGCTCTGGAAGGTAAATGTCAGTCTTCAAGAATCGCAAAAAAAAAAAAAAACTGAAATTAAGATCAAAACGTACCTACAATAGCCTGATCTTGCTCTTTCAGGATTCAACTTCATAAAGCCCTATCCCAAGGTTTTGATGATGCTACGTGGCCGCTTGTGAATAGAACTGGCAGGTTATGAATAAATATCCCAAGATTTCAATCGGTATGACAATCCCCATTAATTCTTTTTATATCTGATAAATCTCTTTCAGTGCAGGCACTCAGGAGAAGTCCGACTCATATTGCACTACTCAACTGCTCACGTAATTCCTACCTTCACTATGTTTAGAAAATAATTTTATTAGAAAAAAAGTACTTTAGTGCATGAGGATCCGTCATCCGTCGTTTACAGTTAACAAGTAACAAACCAGTAATTGGTTTCCATGTTTGTGCCATTGCAGCTAAGTGAGAAAGCCAAGACAAAATTAGCTCCAACAGCTCCCCAGTATGCAACGCCATCTAGCGCCTTGAGCCAGCTCCTACCTCAAGGTTCCGCACCAATGGCACCTTCAGCTCCTTATTACCCGCCAACCACGGCGTACACTTGTCCATCTTCATCTCCTTACACTCCATATCCTCCTCAGACAACAACATATTCTCCCAGTCCCACCCCTCCACTTGGCTATCCTCCACAGACATGCCCTCCTCCTCCTCCACCCTCAATCTACCCTCAACACACTTACCCTCAGCTACCCTCCGTTTATCCTCCACAACCGTACTCACCTCCTCCTCAGCCTCAGGCCTCATCTTACTATCCTCCAGGTACTTATAAAATTTATTTCTGAAATTCCTAACCGTTTCCTATGACTTTGTTTATTCCACCTCAGTGCGTACGTGATGCTCTGTCTGATTGGTTACAGGTCCTCCAAGTGGAATCTATCCACCCCCACCATACTGACCTCGACGGTCTAAGTGTTCGTTTTTTCAGGATTCGTGAAAGCAGCATCCTTACTTAGCGGAAGAATCCATTTTTAGAAGATAATGAGTTTGTAAAAACCAATTTAATTATTCTCTGCTTTTAAGTTTAAGTTTTATTGCGTGGTGTTGGTAATTCGAACCTTAACTAAACATTTCGCTGAAAGTTTTATTCCTTTGTTTAATATATTTTATCGCCGGAGAACAAATTATTTCGTGCTTTCTCTTCCGAATTCATATTAGAACTAGAAGAGGTCCAGTGAGATGTTGATATATATATATGTGTTTCTGCATTTCCTCATTCACGGATCTTGACTTTGCATTGGAGTTTCATGAATATAATTAACACACAAATATCAGTACGTAAGCTCTGACAAGTAATGGGTCCAAACAAATTAAGAATATAATATTGTTCTTATCTTTGAATAAATCTGAAGAAGTGAAAGTAACATTGCCTCCTGCATCAAATTAGCAACGTTAATATGTAATAATTTATCGGAGCAGATGGCCAACCCACCCTCAAATGACCAATTCACATTTCAACTTCCGTGGATAACTAGAGGGATATAACAGAGTACAACAATAATTCAGTTTACTTCGATTCACTTAATCTTATGTCAGCAACAGCATGAATCAACAATATCATCAGTGCCATAAGTTTTTGTAAACATGTCAATGTATACATGTAAAGGGCAAAATGATTATTACATCTATAACGAGAATGGCAAAACAGTAATTAGAGAAGGTCTTCCCTCAAGATTGTACTATACAAGTCCAAAATTTAAAATTATAAATTCAATAATATGTTCTTATTTTTATAAATGTAAATTCAATTTTCATTCATGATTAAATTTTCTTTGAAAGTTCTTTCATAGAGTAAAGTTTATTATATCTATTGATTAATTCCGCTTACTTATACAAATTAAGTTTCTTTTTTGCTCTATTAATGAAGGTTCAACCCAAAATATTCTTGGAAAAAGAAAAGGTGACATTGAATTGAGGGATGTGCTTTAATTATAAAATGAAATTAAAAAAATATATATTAATATAGGTGGGCTATACGTGGGCCTATACTATTCTGTATAGGACCATGTAATAGCACCCTAAATGAGTGATGCTCTATAATTAGACCTGGCAAAACTTAGAAATGGGGTGTATCTAAAAATTAGGCGGGGTTTGTATAGCACAATAGCAATAGGCACCACTTTAGAAATACTGTAAAACCCAACAGACACGGCGGTTCGAATACATTTATTCGATCACCTGCTTCATTATTTTACTATATTCTGTTCCCGACTTGAAACAATTAAAAGGCTGGTTGATTACTTATTGTTGACTTGGATCTAGAGAGATGGATTATTTAGGGATTGATGTGAGCTGCGCTATCGGATCTCTGCAAAAAGGCCAATTTCCGGAGAAAGATTGTTTGCTCCCACTCATATCCAAACTCCTCGGCTACTGCATCGTTGCTGCTTCTACCACCGTCAAACTCCCTCAGGTCTTTTTTTTTTTTTTTTTTTTTTTTTTTTTTTTTGGTTTCCTTCATCAATTCTTCATATTCTCTTACTGTATTATTTTAAGAGTTTGATTTATTTGAAGAACAAGTGTTTACTTTTGAATTGTTTGATTCTATTAGAAATGTGAGTAATTTTGACTTCAAACCTAGATCTTAGTTGAGCAGAAATTTCCATGTCTCGTTATTGATCTATATCAAGTTAAAGAAAATTGCTCTTCACGGTTTAAGCATGTACTGAACGATTTTCATTACCCTAATTTTGTCATCGTGTGATGCTTTTTGTCTCTAGATACTGAAAATTTTGAAAAATAGTAGTGTGAGAGGGCTTAGTGTTGTGGCCTTTGAGCTCGAAGTAGTTGGGTATACCATTGCTTTGGCATATTGTCTTCACAAAGGGCTTCCCTTTTCAGCTTATGGCGAGTTGGCATTTCTCTTGGTCCAAGGTATGTTTCACTCTTCCTTTATTTGTATTGCTTTCACTATTTTATGTTATTGTAGGTTAATGCTTTCAAGTGATTTGAAGAGGAAATAAACAAAATCTTAGTGCTGATGTAAGGATGGATAGTAACACGATACAAAGTTGTGATTTGGGTGTTATGTGATTGTGCCTTTTACATTTGCGAGTCTATATCTTTACCAATCAGCCCAATCAATGATATTCTAGTGTAAACATTATTTTAACACTTTCTCTTAGTTTCTCTCTATCTAGATTTTTACTGGATACTATGTATTCATACAAACTCATACATTCAAGTGCAGAGTGGATGCATTTGAAAAGTGAATAAGTTTATTGTAACCAATTTATATGTTTTATGTGTAATAAATATATCCTATATATAGACAGTTAACCCAGATCGGGTTAGACTGATTGCATTGTCAAATCGCCCAACCTCGTTTGCAAATTTCACACAATAAGTTTTGTCAAACTCAATTTCTTCTAGTTTGGTGGATCTTTAACCCAAACAGATAAGGTGTTGTCATTAAGTCATGAACCATGGTACGTTATGAAAGTTGATGTAAATTTTAGAAGAATCTAACATAATTTATATTTTGCTCATTTATTGCAGCAATAATTTTAGTTGCTATAATCTACTATTATTCACCATCAGTTGGTACCACAACATGTATCAAGGCTCTACTGTATCCTGCTTGCTTGTTCTATCAATTTATTTTCTGGCATTCTCTTATTGAAATCTTACTATGCAAGAATCAAATATACAGTCATCTGTTCCCTTGACCTAGTGATATTTTAGATATTGTGCTGTAGCACCAACCGTTTTAGCTGGTCAAATTGATCCTGTTCTTTTTGAAGCTCTCTATGTAAGTAGTAATAGTATGCACACATGAATATCCAAATTTTTTTTTTTTTGGGGGGGCGGGGGGGAGGAGTACGTGATTTTCTGGTGGCTGATTCATTGGGGAATGATCTATTACAGGCTTCCCAGCATGCAATATTTTTCTGTGCAAGGGTCCCACAAATATGGGAGAACTTTAAAGTAAGTTGAAATGAAGATCCATTCTGTTGTTAAATTGTTGATATAAGTTATGAAGAAAAATTTCCGATGTTAGTGATTAATATCTATTTGTTGAGCAGAACAAAAGTACTGGGGAGCTCAGCTTCTTAACATGTTTCATGAATTTTGGTGGTTCCATGGGTGAGTTTTTATTGTTTATCAAAGTAGGGGTGAATTGATAAATATTCTATTTTCTGATGAAGTGATGAATTTATTTTATTTTTCTTGGTTATGCAGTGAGAGTTTTTACCAGCATCCAAGAAAAAGCACCAACAAGTGGTATCCTTGTCTAGTTTTCTTTGTTGTGATTAAAGATTCACTGAAAGAGTTCCTACAACAAAATAATATATGGTAAAGGTGTTACAGGTTATTTTCGGAATAATGTTTGTGGGTAGAAAGATTTAAAGCATTTACAATAGTGGTAGTATTATTGAAAACGTCAAAAATATCATATAAAATATCACAGTTTTCACTCTCTAGTGATAGAATAGTTAATTTAGACCTGCGATAGTATAGCTTGTTTCACTTACTATATCCTCTATTTTTCTTATTTCCTAATATAAGAAACTTTTTACTTACTATTAATATATCTTCATCTTTTTTTCATACTGATGCTCTTGTCCATTGGAAATTTTATGATATGGTAGAAAATGAACCAGAACAGAGGAAGTTGTAGAGCTGTGGGTTGAGTTTATAAGAAAACTGTATCACACTGTGAGATAACAGAATTTAAGGTTCTTTAGATAAACTAAAACAGGGGTTTATGATAGCAAATCATTTTAGTTGAGTATGCTGAAAAGTTTATAGGAGTTCTTATTCTTCTGAACAATTCTACTGATATTTTGAACAAAGTGTATCAGCATCTATCATTTACTTCCATTTAAGTTGCAGATACGTATATTTCCAAGCATTTGCTGTCCTTAACTCTTCTTGCAGTTATTATGGGCTCTGTACTTGGTGTCATGACAAATGGTACCATCCTGAGTCAGATTATCTTATACCAAAAGCCTCAGGCCAAGAAAGAGAAAAAGGTCAAGTGAAAGAAGACAAAGTTATTGGTAGCTTTGCTCCTCTTCAGAAAGAGTTTCAAAAGCTATGGCAAATAAGCCAGCGTTGCAAGGACGAGAGTAATTTGTTCATTCATTACATAGTCATTTAAAACCAGTGTAACTTCCAATGAGAGTTTCGGTGGGTATTCGGCCAGTCTGCCGTAAAATATAGTTCATAAACATAAGGTGACATGATATAGTTGATAGTCTTCAATGTGCTTCATAAATTTCGTAACATTAATTGAAAGCTTTATTGTATGAATTTTATTTTATTTTGTTGTTAGGATAGATGTATCAATCCTACTTTATCTATACATCCAACTGTGCTTATATCTTGTTTAACTAGTCCGATCCTTGTTTTACCACAGTATGGCTTGATGACTCTGATGTCAGGTGATGAAGCTTAGAGCCAGAAGGCATGAAAATCGTGAAATACCACAATCAGTAATACTATGTGACTGAGGAACACAAGTTTTAAGAGTAAACGATATGTTCCCACCTAAGGTTTAGTGAAATCCAAGGTTGATACCCTTGGTTTCGTAAATTCCAGATTCTCGACCTTAATTGTTAGTGACAGATGGGTTTAGACACAGGAGCAGTGGATGCTTTTACTAAACAGCCCTCGAACCTTCTTCTTCTTCATCTCCCCTTCTCTTCTTCATTGCTATCGGCCTTTTGTGCAATTTTGGTGGTTTGTTTTTTGATTGGAGATTGAGTGTTGGGGTCATGTTTGGAGTTTGATTGAGTGTTGTTTGCTGATTTTTTGGGTTTTGGACGAATTGAGGATGGGAGATTGATTTTTTTTTTCAACTGTTGCCACACCACCTGTTCGACATATTTCTGAAGAGAACTGCCTTACCATTTGCATGTGCTCGTCCAACGCCCAACACCTAGCAGTCCAACACCCAGTGCCCAATGCCTATCCCTATTGGGCAAACTTCCAGTCGATTGCGGCCTTACCCCGGCACATCCATTCCTCCCCAATTTTCTGTTGCCACTCCCTCTCGCCCACAGGTTTCAAGCTTTTCTGGTTGAATCCGTCGACAATAATCGCCCCCAATCCCACCATTCCCCTTATTAGAGTCCCCCACCAAAACCCTCAACCTCCACCACCACAATTGAACGTCAATCAATG